TAGAAGTTGCTCCTTGATTTCCAGCTTTAAAAAGAATGAGAGTTAGGCATTCGTGGAATATAATGAACAACACAAACTGGTGAACAAAAAACAGAACCAGAGACAAAGCATCGAACAGACTGTCCAACCTATGAGGGGAGGCCGGGGGCGGGGGGTGAGGGGGTAAGAGATCAAGCAAAGGACTTGCATGCATGCATATGAGTTACATAACCAATGGACACAGACAGTGGGGGGTAAGGGCATGTGCTGGGGGGTGGGAGAGGCCAATGGGGGGAAAAGGAGCCTCATGTGATACTTTAAACAGTAAAGAATTCAAATTTAAAGAAACAAAAAAGAGATGAGAGTTAGGGTCATAGATGACATCTCTCCCATTTCATCCCAAGTGACTTGTCACTATTTTATGTCTCTGTGAGTCCCCCGGTCAGAAACAAGTCTTACCCTCTGGTTCCTGTTCTGCCAGCTCCAGGCAGTCCTGCTCGGTCCCCTGGCGGCCCGTCTCCTTCCTCACTTCTCCTACCCCGTCCTGTCCAGACTCCCACCTTCTCCACTCCGACTCGCCTTCATTGAGGTTGAGGACGGGGAGCTGTTCTGTAACTTCAGTTTCTTCTCATGGGAGGCTGGGCCCGGTCTGGGGAATTGAAATGCACCGACCTGTGTTTCTGTCACTGGGGCCGTCCCCTTGGTCTCGGCATCCGTGTGCTGGGATTCCACTTTGGTTCCTGTGCGGCCTGCTTTTTCCTGGAGTTCCTGTCTCCCCCCTGATCGTGTCTCCAATCATTTCCTAACAAGCTCTTCACTGTTCTTGGTTATTCTGTGGAGACCCCTTTCATGCCACTCACTTCTGACGCTTCAGTTTCCGATGTGATTGGTTGGTGTCCTATCATTGGAGCTGAGAACGTGGCTCAGTTGACAGCGCGTCTGCAGCCCCACCCTCAGCCCGCTGCCCCCTGCGCGCCTTCCTCGCCTCCCTCCTCCTGCTCTGTGTCCACCGAGCCCTGGATTAGCTACTACCTGCCCTCAGCAGTCGGCATTGCCTGGTGCCGCCTCCCACCTGGCTGTGGTCTGGCGCCTGTTTCCCTGGCTGAGTTAGGCTGTTGGCAGAGTTCATGGTTCTGAGGGTTTTGCTTTCAAATGTTGAGGACCTGTGGCTTCCAGAGTTGCTTTGATGTCGTGTGTATCTTATTTCCACCTGTAACGCCGTGCTGTGTCCAGCGGTCCTGCTTATGGTCTCATGTGCATTTTTAAAAAGCTTTAGTCTCCTGTGAACCACTAAGTGGAGAAGCAGGGCTAAGAGCAGTGGCCTAGTGAGGGCCAGCAGTGGTGAGCACGTGGGGGTGTGGACTCGAGCGGATAGACTCTGAGGATGCCTGTGCTATCTCTTCAGTTAGCAACAACCCGCCTCTGCCCCAACCGCCACAGACCACCAGCTGCACCCCACCTGCCCGGCCCAGAAGTGTAAGTATGACCCGCCCCCCGAGCCGCCCGGACTCACTCCTGGCGTGCAAAGGCCGGGTGTGTGCTTCTTCGGGGTGTGTCCTCTGCTGTTCTTCTGAGTGATGGGTCTCGCTTTGGCCTGTACTTCTTCGTAACGGGGCCTCTGGTGGCCATGGAAACGGCCAGAGCGTACGGTTTAGCTTCTCGAGGGGACATCCTCGCTCTTTTCATAAAAGCTCCCAGGTGAACACCGATCCTCCCCTGCAGTGACTGGCCGTACCAGCCAGCGCCGAGTCCTGTCCATGGGAGGGGGTAGGCCCTACAGGTGCCGTCCCAGCTCCGCCCGCCCCTTCTGCTTTCGCCCGAGCAGGGGGACTGGATGTGGCGTGATGCGTTGTTGCAGGATTTCTCACGTTTGGAGATGACCAACCACAGCACTCCCCAGAGTCCTTCCAGAAGAACTGATGGTGTGGGCCAAGCAGGTCAAACTCGCGGCTAACACGGGCCAAATAAAGAGGCGTGTGGCCCGCAGGCCGCGAGTTTGACCTGCTTGATGTAGGCAGTGCAGATGGGGCAGAAGCCTACGAAGAGGTCAAGTCAGGGCTGTTAAGGTAGAGCCGGCCCTTGAGAAGTACAGATTGGTCGTTACAAAATAGTCTGAGGGACATACCGTACAGCATAGGAAATACAGTCAGTAATGTAGTTAATAACTAGGTATGGTGTCAGGGGGAGCACTTTGTAAAGTTTACGATTGTCTAACCCAGCCGTGGGCAAACTACGGCCCGCGGGCCGGATCTGGCTCGTTTGAAATGAATAAAACTAAAAAAAAAAAAAAAGACCGTACCCTTTTATGTAATGATGTTTACTTTGAATTTATATTAGTTCACACAAACACTCCATCCATGCTTTTGTTCCGGCCCTCCGGTCCAGTTTAAGAACCCATTGTGGCCCTCCAGTCAAAAAGTTTGCCCACCCCTGGTCTAACCCCTATGCTGTACAACTTAAACGAATACAAAATAATACTGAATGTAAACTAATTGAAAATACTAAAAAAAAAACACCCCAAAATACCGCCCCCTAACCCCCGCTCCGCAGAATCCTGCCCTGCGGGTCAGTGATGCGGTGACTGAGGAGCTCCTCTGTGTGAGGCCCTCACCTTGGAGATCCGGCCCTCCAGACCCTCCCGAAACGGCTCACGACTAGCCAGGCGATAAGACGCGTCACCCCCCCAGACGGAGACATGGCCCCTTCCTCCCTCGTTTCGATTTCTGTCTCTAAACTTGAAGTTGACTTCTTCAGTCAGCTATTACCACCCTCACCCCCACCCCCACCCCCTGGAGAAATCGTGAAAGTTCTGCCCCGTCTGTCTGAGCTGGTAAATGACCTCGGATGTGCAGGACCCGGTGGCTTGCTGCCAGGGCTCCCGTAGGCGCCTGTCCAGGGAGCCCGCGCGCCTGGCCCGTTGGACGGCGTTACAGGTATCGCCGGCTCTCCGGCTCCTCGTTTCTGACTCGCCTGTGTCTGAAGCTGTCTCGGGTCCGACTCGGTTCCGCACTCTCTGGTGACCCTCCGGCTTGTCCTTCTGAGGCCGGTGGTCTGTGCTCCCAGCTGGCCTTGGCCGCTCTGGTCCACATTCCTCCTCCTCCTCTCTGACCTGCTCCTCTGGGTGGTTTGGTATGAGTCTGTTTTTCGAGTTGCCTGTAAATTGATCAAAGAAGCTTAAGGTTGATGTCAGTCGGTGGGTCACACGTCACACTTGGGTGCCTTTTCCTGTGCCTGAGGGTGGCTACCGGCGCACGGGGTGCTTGGTGTCACGTCCTGGGGCTGCCCAGTGTGGGCACCACACCAGAAAGGCCTTCCTTGGCCATTTCCTCTCCGATCTTCATTCTCCGGGAGCATGACACCCTACTGTCTTTCCAACCCGCTCTGTTAAGTCCTAAGAAAGGAAGCCGTTCTGCCTTGGTCCTCTGCAGACCAGCCCTCCAGGAGGCCGGGGTGGCAGTGTTGACCCCTCGGCGCTGTGCGGGCGGAGAGGAGTGCCGGTTGGGTGGGGAGCTCTGCTCCGGTGGAGGCGGCGGGAGCGCTGAGCCTTTCTCTCTGTTGCTTTTCCTCCCAGACCATTCCCGGGGCGGCAAGTCCGGCGGCTGGAGCGGCAGCGATGAGAAGCGAGGATCGTCGCGTTCCGAGCACAACGCCAGCGCCAGCTCGAAGAGTCTCCTCCCGAAAGAGTCTCGGCTGGACGCCTTCTGGGACTAGGGACAAGCCGCGCCCCCAGCCGTCCGCCCCCCGGAGGAAGAAGGCGGACCCCGGGCCGCCAGGGAACGGCGCAGACACGTGAGGCGGGAGACCACCCCTCCGGACCCGAGGGCTCCACCCAGACCTGGCCTTTCTTCCCACCGAGGGTCCCACACTACACGCCCCCACGAGCTCCGAGGACCGTCCACCCACATGAACTCACGCTTTAGGTGTAAATAGTGTACAATTTGTGGATGTCACTGAACTTAGAGTACCTTCCCCTTTTTATATTTGTATTGACTTTAACTTATAAAAAAAAAAAAAGAAAAAGAAAAAAGAAAAGCGATTAGAAAAAAACACCCAACAACACAAAGGATGTTCTGGTGTTGGAAGGGGTGGTCCGGGGCCCGTCCGTCTGGAGGCGGCACCGGGATGGTGAGTTCTGGCAGGTTCTGTGCTGCCGTGGGCACCTCCCATCAAGCCATCGCCCCTTCCCGACACCGCGCTGCTGCTTCATCAGATGCAAGCTCTCTGGGCCCGGAGGACGCAGAAGGACGCGGGTGGCAGGAGCTGCTTCTGTGACGTGACCGACGCGGTGACTCGCCTCCTAAAAGGGAAAACCCAGTGTCCTTGTTTACAGACGAGAAGCAGAAACCAGCCCCACTCAGCGCAGCGCAGGAGAGAAGAACACCGGGCGTTTCGAGTCCTCGGAACCGAGAGAAATCTCTCCCGTGCGTGTGGCTCCTTCCGACACACTCACACGCTGGGGGAGAGAGGTCCTGTGCTTGGCGGAGGGAGGACGGAGGCCGGGCGCACGCGGAGGACAGTCGAGCCTGGATGAAGCATGTCTGTAGTATTTATACGAGGGGATTTTACGTTTTTATGTAAGCATGAAACCAAGGCAGTGTGAGAGGACACGCCCGCCATGCTGTCTGTTACACTACGAACGCTGTGGCTCCGTTTTGTTTGTTGTGTAAAACAAAAGGCGTTGAGCAAGCGGAGGGGGATGTCTGTATATGAGGAAATTAATTGTACGATATCATTCCAGCCCATCTCGTTGTACATTTTAGTCTCGTTTACTTTCTCTTCATTGTTGATAAGAGGATGCGGACTGTACAGTTTCCAGCTAGTTACCCATATTAGAGAAGAAGTAAGAAGGGAGTATTAGAAGAAAACAGGAGAGAAAGAACATTTGTGAATTGCAGTTATCAAAAAAAAAAAATAGCCTAGCTGGCCTTATTTGTGAAGCATAATTGCTTTTAGCATATGGAAGTATTTTTTCACATTTTCTTTGTATAAAATTTGTATTAAACTTAAATATCTTTTTTGACGATGGTGTTTCTTTGTGACTGAGCCAGGAGACTCACAACACGGTAGGCTCTTTTGGGTTCCTCCCCTTCTCCCCCAGTTTCTTCAGACTCTTCACCTTTTAAAAATTAAACTGTTTTGGAAAAATGGCTTGGTCGTCCTCAAATCTGCAGTTTTCCATTGGGTCCGCATGGCCGAGTCAGGTTTTCACGGCCGAACACAGAGGCCAGGCCGTGAGCGGCCGCGCACAAATCCACGGCGGTGGGCACATCAGCAATAAGGGCCCCTCGTCCAGTGCCTTGAGTGTTTTTGACCGAGATGAGAAGCAAGGGAAAGCCTGGGTCAGTCTCGGAAAAACAGTGGGAGGGAGGGAGTTCCTCCCGGGCCAGGATGGAGGCCTCACTCAGAGCTGAGTGGGCAGCACGAGACTTCACATTGCCCGGCCCACCCTGGTCACTGAAATTTCATGTGTGATATATGTATATATATATTTCATCCATTTAAAAATAAACATTAGTCACAGCTCACAGGCTGTACAGAATCGGAATGGGCTGCGTTTGGCCTGCAGGCCATTTGCTGTGACAGGAAGCGAACAGGAATTTAAAAATAATTTCTTGCCCTAGCTGGTCTGGCTCAGTGGATAGACCATTGGCCTCTGGACTGAAGGGTTGGATTCTGGTCAGGGGCACATGCCCAGGTTGCAGGCATGATCCCCAGTAGGGGGCGTGCAGGTGGCATCCGATTAATGATTCTTCTCATTAATAATGTTTCTATCTCTCCCTCTTCCTCTCTGAAATCAATAAAAATGTATTAAAAAATATATTTCTTCTTCAATTGCAGTTGATATCACTATTATGTTAGTTTCAGGTGTAAAGCATAGTGATTAGACACTTATGAGGTGATCACCTGATAAGTTAGTACAAGATGGGATATTTTGGAGCAGCGGTCGCCAACCTTTCGGACCTCACGGACCACCAGTGACCCACGGACCACTGGTTGGTGACTGCTGCTTTAGAGTAGGACCAAGGGGTTCTGAAGGTGGCTTCACTAGCTCTTAACATGAGGAGCCTCTCTGGGGAGGGGACATTTGCCCTGAGTCCTGAATGAAGAGCTGGCTGTGGGATGAGAAAGTGGGTGAGCATCCGAGACAGAGTGAGTCGGCAAGTGCAAAGGGCCTGGGGCAGGTGTGAACTTGATGTGCTTAATGAACAGCAAGGAGGCCGGTGTGGCTTAGATGGGTGAGAGGCAGGGAGGCCGCTGTTTGTGAGGGAGTGGTCCGAGGCCTTCCCACCGTGGGCTGTGATTGTCCCTTTGTCCTTGGTCATGAGTCAACCCAGAAAGTGCTGTTCGCTATTCTCATGTGACCTCCCACTGGCCCTTGTAGAAACAGGCCCAGGAAGTGACTAGCTCAAGGCTACAGAGCTCTTGAAATCTAACAACTATTGAACTGCTCTTTCTGGAGATGGGGTATTCTTGTCATTTTTTAACTTCAAAAATGTTTAGTTTCCTTTTTTATTGGGCATGGATGTGCACCTTCCCGGTATCCTCTCATTTTATCCTGGAGACCACAGAGTAGGTGGCACAGCCCCATTTTAGGGGGAGAGGCCAAGGCTGTGAGAGGGGAAGGCATAGTCACCCCACTGTCACCTTTCAGCTCCAACAAGCCAGGCCCTTTCTCGTCTCTGGGCCCTTGCCTGGCACACCCTTCCGGGTTGTTCTCCAGGTCATCTTTCAGATGCCACCTCTGTAGCCACTCCCCACCCATAGCCCTGTTATCCTCTGTCTCGGACTCTTTTTAAAAGTAAGTTTTTACTGATTTTTAGAGAGGAAGGGAGAGAGAGCGAAACATCATGAGAAATATCCATCTGCTGCCTCCTGCACACCCCTTACTGGGGATCGAGCCTGCAACCTGGGAATGTGCCCTGACGGAATCAAACCGGCGACCTCGTGGTACACATAGGACGACACTCAATCCACTGAGCCACACCGGCCGGGCAGTCTCAGCCTCATCCCTGGTCAAAGTTTACTGTCTCCTTCACTGTTGTGTCCCCTAATCTTACCGACTCCAACCCTCCCCACCCCGGCCGCAGCTTCCTGTACAAGAAAGTAGAGAAATGGTTATTTTCAAATGAATTGTTGCATTTCACTTTTCCTATTGACTTCACTAGGTAATACAGTCATAGGCCTCAAATGTGAGAAGAGGGGCCCAGCCACCCTGGTCTCCGGCCTGCGCCTCCGAGTCCGCATTTGCAAACCAACACAGAGGGCGTTTCCTCCCCCTTCCTGTGTACAAGTGGCAGCGTTTGATACACACTCTTCTGTCCTGTCCCCTTTTTTATGTAACCTGAAGCCTGGCTGCTGCTCCATGTTGGTACCGGTCAAGCGCGGCCCTGCACTGTGGGAGAGGACAATGCCTGTCACAGCCCTCAGTTGAGGGTATGCAGATGGTCGAACCCTCAGTTGAGGGCATGCAGATGGGCAGGGAAACAGGGAGGGGCCCCTGGGACTCATCCCAGGCGGCTGTGCGGGAGGGTCAGGAGTGGTCAGAGAAGAGGGGAAGGACTTGGCCGATCCAGACAGGACTGTGGGCCCTTCTTCCTCTGACTTTAGTCTGGGTCCAGCGTTTCCGATGCCCAATGTCTCTGACTCCATGAATGAGGAGAGGAGGGAGCCATGGTCCTTGCTCTTTTCTCTTAGCAACAGCCAGGCAGGGGCCAGGACTGGCCAGGATGGTCTAGGGGTGATCTTGAATGCAATTTAGTCCTCTCGCCACCTGGTGGCCACTATGCAGAACTGCAGCCCCAGAGAGCTGGAGCGGGGAGAAAGCTGGGCTGAAGTTGTTCATTCAGGGCGCTCTGTATACTGCAAGGAGGCCGGTGTGGCTTAGATGAGGGAGAGAGGCAGGGAGGCCGCTGTTTGTGAGGGAGTGGTCCGAGGCCTTCTCACAGTGGGCTGTGATTTTCTCTTTGTCCTTGGTCATGAGTCAACCCAGAAAGTGCTGTTCGCTATTCTGATGTGACCTCCTTCTGGCCCTTGTAAAACAGGCCCAGGAAGTGACCAGCTCAAGGCTACAGAGCTCATGAAATCTAACTGAACTATTGAACTGCTCTTTCTGGAGATGGGGTATTCTTGTCATTTTTTAACTTCAAAAATGTTTTGTTTCTGGAGACAAGTGCTGAACAAAACCAGTGCGGCCTCTGCCCTTACCCACCCGGTGTTCTCATTGGGAAGCCGTCCAATGTGCATATAAAGCTGGGGTCGCGCACTGACGGTAAATGAGCAGGGCGAGGGGGAGTCCGATGGTGTGATTGCCTACGGCCTCTCTGAGAAGCTGCCGGTGAGCAAACACTCACAGAGCCGGGGGACAGAGCCGGGGTGTCTGGGGCAGCGATTCTAAGCTCTGGCTGAGCATTGGAAGCACCTGGGAGATATAAAACAAACCAGAAATGCCCAGGTGCCACTTCCCTGGTAACGACAGCGGTCTCTCTGGGGCTCGGGCATCTGTACCTCTTGCAAAGCAGCTCGGGTGCCCCTAATGGGCAGCCAGAACTGAGAGCTACTAACC